TGTCTTTATTTTCCCATAGTTTTATCGAATTTGTGTTTGAATTAAATTTTGTTGACATGTCTGTATTTTCTTTGCTGTTTACGTATTTGTCACTCATTAATATCATTAGTTTCAGTAGCACGTTAATATTACCTGGTACAACATCGAACTTTTTTTCTATAATAAATTGAAGACTTTCTGAGTCATGTTTTTCGAGAATATGCGGTCAGTGGTTTCTGTGGCACCACAGTGCTGGCAATTAGGTTTTGGTTACTTAAACTGCCAGTAAATTGTATATAACTTGAATCTCGTCATAACCGTATTTTTTATTTTGCTGTGACTATAAAGATTTGCGATTATTTGACAACGCCCCCTTGCGTCGTTTTGTTTATGATCAGATACTTTGCAATCAGTGTTTCAGTGTGACGTAATTTAGATCTGTTTAGATAAATCGTTCGCCTTATTATTCCTTGGTTTGTCTTCATGAGCTGGTACATTTCGAAAAAAAAATTGTATGCAATGTTTCCGGTCGACAGAGTATAGTACGGAATTATTTACAGTGGGCCTTGTGTTGTTCTTAGTTTGTATAGAATGAATGGAAGACAGACTATCCGTTAGAATGACAGCACCGCCTCGTAGGTTTTTAGTATTTATCAACATTACGTCTATCCTTATTTCTATCAATTCACTGGTTCCTATTACTTGTTATTAATGATAGAAAGCACTTGTCTGATGCCGGCTTTTTCCTTCTTATTTGTTTTATTCAGCATTTCTGTACGTATATTAGGCTTTTTCACAGTCCATGGGAGTGTAGGGTTCGGAAAAATTTGCTAATTTTATTTTTTATTCCATTTGAGTTTCTTTTAGTAACTGGAAAACTAGATGGCACTTGGTTATAAATTGAATCTATGTTTTTTACGCTTGTTCCAATATTTAAGGTTGATCTGTTCTACTTTGATGTTGGACCAACTTTGGTCACCTTGGGTTGAGTTCTGTTTAAACATTTGCCCCTTGATAAGTCTCTTTCAAAAGTTGTAATCTTAATCATGACAAGAGAACTGGTAGAGCCGATGGATGATGCCGTAATGAACGCCAGAAGTTTCATGTCGATATATCTTATAGTTTTTGTGTTATGCTGCGGGCAAACTGTAGGTATGGAAAAAATAACAAAGGGCAATAACTCCTACATTATGCAAAAGAGAGTTATGGTTCTTGTACGCTGCACTTCTGCTTATCAAGATTTTTCTACCGGGAAGTTTCATGTTGATACCTCTTATAGTTTTGTGATATGACGGACGGAAAAAGTGACGACTATATGCTCGCTCTTCGGGGAGCATGAATGTACCTTAGGATCTCTAGAAATACAACTTACTGCAAGGAAAGAAGATCTGAGTATCGCTGGAAATTCAATTCATAATAAGGATATATGGTTTCAAGGCCCTTAGAGATGAAATATGCTCAAAGCAAGGATGAATGAGAACCTACTGAAAACTAAATGGAAGACAACAACAACAACAACAACGAGAACGCAAGAGACATTAGATCTATACAACAAACGAAAGCAAATAACGGTAGGAATTTAGTAATAAAGACATTTCGGTAATTGTTTCCTACACTCACTTCCTTTGTCGAGTTCGAATTATAGAACTGTATCCATCCTTGAACACGTGTGAAACGTTCTTACGGCTCTTCCGTCTTCAACAATGCATGCATCACCTAGCGACACCGCACCATCACGACAGCGTCACCATCATCGTCATCATCACCACCACCACCACCACCATCATTATCATCATCACCATCATCATAATCATCATCATCATCATCGTCATCATCATCATTGTCCATCATCATCATCATCATCACCATCATCACATATTGTAACGACCTTACGCTGGTACCATAAAATTTCAACCAACATGTGTTGTGGAGGTTTTATATAACAGGCAATCCTTTCATCCCTTTAAGAGTGTGTCATTAAAACAATTAGCAAAGGCATTAAGGTCTGAATGTTAGCTAAATAACCCTTTGTGTCAGGTCATTATATATGGTATAAAGACGGATGTCGTCCATCTGTACGTTCATCCGTAACGTGATAGGGGAATAGACTAGACGGTTTTTTTACTAAGATTCACAATATATACCCTTAGCAAGCAGCGCCAGCTGATCATTGTATCGGTGGCTGAAAGAAAGAACGATAAATGTAAGAAAAATGCTGGGCGATTAATTTAAGTGTAGATCCGGATGTTCTGGGTGGTAATTGAGAACTGACACGCACACGTGATCAGGTACAATATAGATCTAACAAAACCAAACATCCAGTACTGTCACATTTCTACATCAAGTCGCCCGTCAGATGTCAGCCCTACCGCCGGAACTTAACACCATTAATCAAAATCGAGACAGCGTATGCGACAGTGTCTCGTGATCTCGTGCTATGTTAAGTATTAGAATTCTTGCGTCTTAGCAACATGCTCCAAGCAAATATTGTCTTTTCATTGATTACATGAAAGCTAAGAGATTAATGATAATCGAGAAACTGTGTTTTCGGAGTGATGCGTGATGTGTCTGTTACAACCTCTATATATGTGTAACGTAACTTCTTGGAAATTAATGGACAGAAGAAGTCAAGATTTGAAATCGAACAGCCTCACATTTAAGTCTGTAGATTTTCCTAGTTTGCTCTGTAACACCGTCTTTGATGATTGGTATGTTTTTTTGAAGAAAATTGAAATAGCTTGAAAAAAGGAAGATCGCTTTGAGAATATGACAGTCTTCTGTTTTGGCTGGTGTAATTTAGATATAGTCTGTCGAACAAGTTAATTTAAGGAAAGTCATAAAAATAAACATTGATACGTCATGTGATCTAAATCAGTGTAAAGTCATGGTTATGTCAGCAGTTTAAAACACAAGTTTCGTCAGTCTGAATGTTCAACAGATGTTAACGTTATGTCAGCAGTTTAAAACACAAGTTTCGTCAGTCTGAATATTCAATAGATGTTAACGTTATGTCAGCAGTTTAAAACACAAGTTTCGTCAGTCTGAATATTCAATAGATGTTAAAGTTATGTCAGCAGTTTAAAACACAAGTTTCGTCAGTCTGAATATTCAATAGATGTTAACGTTATTTAAGCAGTTTAAAACACAAGTTCCGTCAGTCTGAATATTCAATAGATGTTGCAGGATAAATGGAATGTGTTTTCCGCGGCTTCAATTGGCTCTTCAGTTTTGTCCTTCTTCGCCCATGCCAAATTACAACTCATATTTCCAGACACTTACCATGTTTATGACACAAGTCTGTATTTGGCATGTGTCCTCCTTGTGACCAGACCTTTCTGGTGGTACCAAAATTTGTGATCGTGTGAATTCAATTTTGTTGCAACCGGGGGCAAAGAGTTTCATAAACACATCTTGTTTTCTATATTTTTTACCATCTCGTCACTCTATTTTCTACGTTAATGTACCGGTACATGGTATTATAATACAGCCGAAAAAGTCTCGGTTCCATGACACTTCCTGAACTCCAAATGTCAGTGGTAATTCACGACACATTGGTCGTTTGTCTGATGAATGTACAGTGTCACACTTCTACTGGTTGTGATATTAGTACTTCTATTCCATTTACATATCCAAGCGAAGACAGTATTCCTCGAAATACCATGAGAATATTTTCGTGGTCGTCATGCACAATGATCTCACTTAAAAATTAAAAAAATTGTAATGCCCTTCTGCAGGGACGTATACCTATAACATATTATACGTCTCTGTCTTCTATAAGCGTTGACATTTTCTAGGCACGAGAAATTTTAATGGATTTGATTTATTCACCACAATTAAAAAATGGGACTATATTATGTACGCAATGTAAAATTTACAATTATATAAATAAAATGCTAATCGATTGTCATATATATGCATTTTGGTGTATACTTTTAAGATTGAAGGATATTTTTGTTTGTTTGTTTGTTTATTTTTTCTTTTTCTTTGGGGTGTACTTATATATTTATCCGCAACAATGTGTTGTTTTTTATATTGATAATGGGTAGCTACAAATTGTACAGAAAACATGAAAAAAAAATATTTTAAGTGACTAAATGGTTAGATATTCCTTTCATAACTGATATAAAAAACCTTATACCATTTTAATTTCTGTTGAAAAATTGCGAGCTTTCTGTTAATTATATTTTGAAGTTTGCATAACAATTTTATTTATGTCAAAAAATCTTAAGAAAATAGGAGTGGCCCAATACTTATTCGTATCATTATCGTTCTGAGACTGTAAACAATGTCTTTGCGCCTGCAATTTTAGATTCAAATTAACTCGAATTCATTTATTTCGCTCTGTCACCCGTGAATTAAGAGGTCATTTTACAAAGTAAGACACATGGCTCGCAAATTCCTTTTTGTTTTGGTTAATTACATAATTATGCAAAGTAATTATGCACGAAGCTCCGAAAGGTTATGTGATGCACTGGGCTATCTCCGATTAAAGCTGTCGACTAGCATTAGTTTGCAGCTGTTAAATTTCTCTTAGAGGGTGTTATAATTTCGTGAAGAGTCGTGGGGAAAATAACGAAATATAACCATTTAGTCCCTTTAATTGTTCAATGGTTAATAATTAATACAGCAAGTATTTATATATCATGGAATGAGATTCTCCGATATGTTAATGAAAATGCAATATTAGCAAGGGGTTGGCGAGACTTTGAGATGAAGCCTATCTGTGCCCACTGTAGTTATTTAACATATGAAAAACAACATTTACTTTTTTCAAAGAGCTATCACATTTATCAAATCTTTCTGCTTCTGTGAATTTGTTTATGTATTTCATTTATAACAGTTATCATGTGACAAACGGGGAAATTATATTCGATACAATTATGAGCACAATCAATTTCATCCGGATCTTTTAAACGAGTTTGGTTATTTTTGTATGCAATCAGAATGATGTTCACGCTTAACATACAGCTAGAAACGCATTCTAACTAAGCTTTCCTGTGATTCTGATCAATACACGTGCATGGAGAGAAAATGACAACAAGTCGTGAGGTAAGACTACAGATGACTATTTACTGTATTATAATGTCTTTGTCGCCTTGTATTGATCGGTAAAGATCATCTTTAAGTGTAGTGTTACATGTTACTTAGTAGCAGTTCATGAGTCGACGTTAGTAAAGTATTCCTGTAGGTTATTGACAACTTCAATACACATGTATCAGGGTTTTCCATAAGAGCCGGTCGCCGGCCAATTTGACCGGCTTCTTTGATCATTTGGCCGCCTACACCCATCCAGTTCCGTAATAATGTTCCGTACACGACTACACGTACACGGCAGGCCACTCCCACCTCGCCGCGTTGCGACTCGGGTCGGCTTGCTTTGCCAGCCTCCTACTTTCACTACAACTACTAACAAAATTATGGAAAACCCTGTGTATGTAGCCCGACGGCGATATACCCTTGGCGCATTAGTTTCGGACCCCATAAGAACCATTTTTCGCTAGTTTTGTTGATAAACTGCCACCAAACAAATACATATCTGGAATCGAAACAGAAAGGTGGCACATTGTTCCAAGGCAAGGCAGAAAATGTTCACTTTGTTTAACTCTGTAGGAGATGAATTTCACTATTTATTCCAGTCTTAAGATGTGAGAATGATAGAATTGAAGCAGAAATTTCTACAATCTTATTATCGTATTAATCTAAATTTAGTTAAAATGTACAGGATATTATCAGGCTGTCACAAAAACTATTAAATTGTCTTTGTCTTATTAAGCAATTTAAAGAAGACATTGTAAGACTTCATGTAAACATTATATAGTATAACTGTATGCTAACCATCCATTTTGTCATTTGTCTGTGTTGATGTAATATCTTACCTCAAGTAATGCATTCTAATGTATCCTAGGAAATCAAATAAACATGAAACTTGATCATTTTCTACATTCATTACAACATAATACAGAAGTACATGTTTGCGTTATACAAACGTAATACATACTTGCCTACTTATCAAAATTCTTATGAATTGACAGGATTCCTTGCACATTGCAACATTTGTCAAGAGAGAAAGATTAAGAAGACATTAATTAATATATGTTTAATTTATATCAATGCAATAATTTGGAAACTACCATTCATTCTTATATGGATTACAGACTTGTGTTAGCCCAAGTTTCCTTGACCTGGCCCCTTCAACATACATTAGACAACATACATATTGATATACTTTGTAACCACAATATGACTCTCTGTAATCACTTTATGGGTGTAAAATATTATTTCACATCAGATGTTTTGTTTCATTTAATTTATTTTATTACACTGAATTATCATTCATGTGTTAGAACAGATTGATTTGACGTATGTTATAATTATAAGCATGTAAAAGGATGAGGTTGGTGTGGCTTGTAAATTATGTTAAATACAGTCTCTGTCACTAACATCACAAAATTTGCTTCTTTAGCTCAGCTGGTAGAGCTCGTTGATTGTCACACATATTTTCTCTTGTTCTTTCACAAACAGTAGCATGATAAACTCTATTCTTATAGGCCATTGTTCTCACTTAGTCAACTACATGATAAAAAAGATTATATTTTCATATATGCTGTCTTGAAATAGACCTAAACTGCTCATTAATTGTGTAAAGCAAAATGCAAGGAATCAATTTAGTGACAGAGAATTACAGAAATGTACCCAGACCCATGTGAAAACTGAATCTGTGATAGAATTGATTCAGTGACAGAGAATTACAGAAATGTACCCAGACCCATGTGAAAACTAAATCTGTGATAGAATTGATTCAGTGACTAAGAGAGGATTTTAGAAATGTTGCCCTGACCCATGTGAAAACTAAATCTGTGATAGAACCCATTCAGTGACATAGAATTACAGAGATGTACCCGGACCCATATGAAAACTAAATCTGTGATAGAACCCATTCAGTGACATAGAATTACAGAGATGTACCCGGACCCATATGAAAACTAAATCTGTGATAGAACCCATTCAGTGACATAGAATTACAGAGATGTACCCAGACCCATGTGAAAATTAAATCTGTGATAGAATCCATTTAGTGACAGTGAATTACAGAGATGTACCTGGACCCATGTGAAAACTAAATCTGTGATAGAATCCATTTAGTGACAGTGAATTACAGAGATGTACCTGGACCCATGTGAAAACTAAATCTGTGATAGAATCCATTCAGTGGCATAGAATTACAGAGATGTACCTGGAATCTGTGATAGAAGTGGCATAGAATTACAGAGATGTACCCAGACCCATGTGAAAACTAAATCTGTGATAGAATCCATTCAGTGACAGAGAGGATTTTAAAGATGTTGTCCAGACCTACCTTGCACCCACTTGAATTTTGTTGTAAAATATTATCATGCAATAATATAGGTGGGCCACTTTCAGTGATGTTAGTAACCATAGTCAGGATTTTGCAGGTTTTTTTCTTTACTTCACTGCTAGAAAGTGTAACACACACAACCTCTCTATATATTGTTCTGAAGAAATCACAAAAGTTCATTAATAATAATAAATTATGATTAGAAGTGTTTAAAAAAAAAATGTGAGTATAAATGTTTCTTTTTTCCCAGGTGCTACTTACAAGCGAGGCCTCAGGCCAGATGTGGAATGTATGTGTATGGGACTTTCATTCTTCAACCAGTCTCCTGACGTATAAAGGGGGAACTTCCGTACCTCATGGTCTAGCTGTTCTCAACAATGATTTCATCATCTCAGCCCTCAACACAAAACCAATCCTCAACATCTGGTCTCTTCATAAAAGGGTATACTTATACTTCTAAACCTTTTCCAGGAACTTATAAAAAAAGTTTTCCCGGCGATGAAATCTAAGTAAATGATAACAAAATATTTAGTTGTATTAAAATTTTAAATCATCCTGTTTTTGTTTTTTTTTTCTGAGATAATTCTTTGATATCTCTTATTGAAACTAGAAAATGTCTATAAGGCATGAATGTGCCAAATCTCTTTAATGTGAAAAAAAAATGTTTTTGTTTGATATGCTCAGAAGCTATCAGATATGATATTAACCTTTAACCCATGATCAATAATACTTTAATATGATATCAAGAACAAGTAAGATGTAGCTCTGGGATAAATATGAACCAAATATGTTGTGAAGTTCTCGAGATATGACATTGATTTGTAACATGATTAGACAGGACATGACAGACATGGTTAAAAACTGTAACAATACATGTAAATTCCCCTCCCCTATCAAATGTTGAGGGTATAAGAATTTATATTAAATCTTTGCAAGATGTATACATAGCATAATGTTAAATTTTTGATGTGTACATGAACCAACAGTACATGATATTGAGATCAATGTGACATGAGAAATAACACTACAGATTTTAGATTACCGATACTTTCTTAAGGTATATCAAGTGAAAAAGGAGCCTTCATTATTAACACCTCTCCTTATGTAATAAATAACCATTGTTTATAGCATCAGTGATTATAAATTGCAATATTTACATTCTGTTGGTCTATCATCAATCATGTCTTTTCAACAGGACAATCAGCAAATGAAAATGGTTTGTCCTGGAAGAGTTACTGCCCTTGATGTAACAACCAATGGAGAGTACTGCATCGCAGCTGTGTCAGAAAAAATCCACATCTGGCAGGTAATTTGATTCTGATATTGATCATTGGGTAGATTTTCTGATATGATTTGTATACTTCCTCACGTAATTATAGACAGGAGGTCAAATATTTTTTATGCGTTGTGTATAAATTGATTTTCACATAAAAATATGGCATCCAAATGTCCAATTCGGAGTCAAGAGGTGAACAAAACATCCCCGGTTTTCCTTAAATCTTGAAATTGTCAGATCAAGACAATGCTCCATTTCATATTTAGAATATCTATTATTCCCAGTCATGCTAAGATATTTTGCAACAATGCCTATAATTCTAACTATTGATCAAAAGACATATTGATATGGACTAGTATATCCTTTACATTTGTCTTGCTAGGTATGTACAGGTCATCTGCTGGCTGTTCTCGGTAGACACTACCAGTGCATTACCTGTTTACGATGCTGTGATGATGGGTCTTACTTTGTATCGGGCGGTGATGACAACATGGTCATGGCCTGGTCATTGGGCAGGTATGTACGTCAATTTGGATGACAACAAATTTGAATTGAATGTCTTCATTACACTCAATAGAACATAATTATGCTTATATTACACCAGTAAGTATGTGTGTTTATTGTAGTGAATTACTTAATTCATTAGTGTTATTGATATGACACAAACTTTCTATGTCAGTGTTCTGAGAATGACCTATGTTTTTTTCTGTTTTTTTTTTTTTCCAAAGAAATATTTGATATAGATATTAGCAGTCCTGATGCTTGAGATATGTTTCTTGTGTTCCCAAATCACCAGATACTAGAGATAAGTTTCCAATGTTCTACAATCACCTGATACTAGATATATATATTTCCAATGTTCTCTCATCACTTATGAGTCATTTAAATTTACCTACCTGTGAAATTTGTATTAATAGACCAGGTGTTGGTCAGTTGAGTGTTGTGCATTTGCTACAGATATTAAAAAGGTTTTGAAAATAATAGAGATGAAATTTTCTGTACTTTTTAGGGTGTTGTCTGAGGCTGGTGAACACAGTAACAGGCAAGCCCCAGTCCATGTATGGTCCCAGCACTCTCTCCCCATCACAGACATACATGTAGGATTTGGTGGCAGTCGAGCGAGAGTTGTCTCCTCTTCCCTTGATCAGTCTTGTCGGGTGAGAAACTTCTTACATAATAACTGGAGTTAAACATTTTTTTATTGTATAGATATGGGACCTATTATCAGGACAGATGATGGACCTAGTTTCAGGAGAGATAATTTTCTGTATCATGTTTGATGTCAGTGGACCCTATTAATGATATCAACACTGTGTTGTACTGTTAGCCAGTTTTTTTGTTTTATTGATATGTGACCTAGTATCAGGAGAGATGATGGACCTGTGTTGTATAATTGACTGTGTTTCTGTTTTAAAGATATGAGACCTAGTATCAGGAGAGATGATGGACCTGTGTTGTATAATTGACTGTGTTTCTGTTTTACAGATATAGGACCTAGTGTCAGGAGAGATGATGGACCTGTGTTGTATAGTCTGTGTTTCTGTTTTACTGTGTTTCTGTTTTATGAGACTGTGTTTCTGTTTTACAGATATGTGACCTAGTATCAGGAGAGATGATGGACCTGTGTTGTATAATTGACTGTGTTTCTGTTTTACAGATATGGGACCTAGTATCAGGAGAGATGATGGACCTGTGTTGTATAATTGACTGTGTTTCTGTTTTACAGATATGTGACCTAGTATCAGGAGAGATGATGGATCTGTGTTGTATAATTGACTGTGTTTCTGTTTTACAGATATAGGACCTAGTATCAGGAGAGATGATGGACCTGTGTTGTAATATTGACTGTCTGTTTTATAGATACTATCAGGAGAGATGATGGACCTGTGTTGTAGTGTGTTTCTGTTTTATCAGGAGAGATGATGGACCTGTGTTGTATAATTGACTGTGTTTCTGTTTTACAGATATAGGACCTAGTATCAGGAGAGATGATGGACCTGTGTTGTATAATTGACTGTGTTTCTGTTTTACAGATATAGGACCTAGTATCAGGAGAGATGATGGACCTGTGTTGTATAATTGACTGTGTTTCTGTTTTAAAGATATGAGACCTAGTATCAGGAGAGATGATGGACCTGTGTTGTATAATTGACTGTGTTTCTGTTTTACAGATATGGGACCTAGTATCAGGAGAGATGATTCTCTGTATTGTGTTTGATGTCAGTATAACTTCCACTGTAATGAACATGACGGAGAGTTTGTTGTGTTGTATAATTGACTGTGTTTCTGTTTTACAGATATGGGACCTAGTATCAGGAGAGATGCCTGTGTTGTATAATTGACTGTGTTTCTGTTTTACTGCTGTAACCTAGTATGGAGAGAGAGATGATGGACCTGTGTTGTATTTCTGTTTTAAAGATATGAGTAGGTTGATTGTGTTGTTTTATAATTGACTGTGTTTCTGTTTTCTGTTTTAAGATACATAGTACATATGCTGAAAGTATTGTGTTTCTGTTTTACAGATATGGGACCTAGTATCAGGAGAGATAATGGACCTGTGTTGTATAATTGACTGTGTTTCTGTTTTACAGATATGGGACCTAGTATCAGGAGAGATGATGGACCTGTGTTGTATAATTGACTGTGTTTTTGTTTAGATACGGGACCTAGTATCAGGAGAGATGATTCCATCTCTAAGATTGAAATAACTCCACTGAGCTAAGGTTTAATTGCTGGTATTTTATAATATTGGATAGGTAGTCAGAAACCCTTCAAACTCAGTATTTCTAATTTCTCAGTTATATGTAAAGCCAATTGGTGATATATATGACATGCAAGTAGATATAAAGTGATATAATATATTGACAGATAAATTACCGTGAGGAACAATTTCATTTATAGATATAGCGATCCTCAAAGATCGTGATCATTACTGAAAAAAATAATCAGTAATGCTAAAACCTATAACAGAAAAAATATTAAGTAATATTTGATAGGTGAGTTTGGTAAGTGATAAAGCTAATTAACCGATACCACATACACTCCTTGTCTACAGCCCATCAGAACTGAGAGACACATACAAAGTGATACAGACAGCCCAAATACAACTATCTACAGTGGTCACAGGTGAGCACATACAACTAAATAACTGATGTATCTAGATTTTTGTACAATGTACAACACACTAGCAGTTATAGAAAATTTCAAAAACTGCATTTAAAATCAAAATAAGTTTTTGAACATTTAATTTTAAGGATTATAATACAATATATATGTGTAGTAATGTATATGTATAGATTGTAGATTTTGTCAGGTTAAGTGTTTTTGCCCCAGTCCCTAAATCCAGTTGAAGTGCAACAATTTGTATTAACACATGATTTCTTACCATTTTACTGTTAATGGTGTGATGTCAGTGTTGTAAAGCTTCTTTAACATATCTTTCATTCCATATTTCATAGTAAGCAAGTGACTTGTCTGTCACTTTCATTGGATGGCAGTCAACTGGTGTCGGGATCACATGACTCTGATGTGAGAGTTTGGGATGTACACAGTGGCCAGTGTGTCAAGACAATTCCACATAAAGGTTAGTTAGATAAGACACATTGATAAGACATGACAGACATCATCATGGGTCTCAAGCTGGACACTCTACTGCTCTACTAAAGGGAAGTTCCCACAAGAGAAGGCTCGAAAAGTGTAAACTCAGCTTCTACAAGTGTGTACTGAGGGATATCAAAGGAACTGTGTTATGCATGATATACTAATTGTTTGACATCGAGAAGCTTAGATGAGTCATATTTTAATAATATTGAACTAAGGAGGGTTTAACAATTTGATACAGGTTAATAAGGAGCCTGTAGGAAGGAGACATATTGAATAATTCAATGAGTTTAATACATTCTGTTGGAGTCTCATGTAAGATGGTAGTTTTCCACTGCTGAGATGAAACATGTGAGGACATTTAAGGATTTATATCATGTCATAGTTGATATGTTATGTGACAAAAGAATATGTAGACAGTGTTGTTTTGTTTTGTCTTTGTACTGCCTATGTACACCATGTTTTGCTCATGGTTTTTTGTAAGTATCACACTTTCACTTATAACCAAGGTAATATTTTATTAACACACTCTTTTGCTCATCACAGGAGTGATAACCAATGCCAGGTTGATACCAACGCCCCCTGGTGTGATATCAGAGATTAAACGGCCAATCCTCCCCATGCAACCCTTCCAACGTTATCTGTACTGCCCACAGAAGAGTGGAGAATCAGGAGAAGATAACTCATCAGACACTCTCAATCTTTACATAAACCAATTTGAGCAGGTAGGATTAGGTTTTGTCTACAGTCCCCTTGGTAAATGCTCTGTGATTATAATTAAGTTATTGATAAAACTTTATGTTTGTTTCACACTTAAAAGTGCTCATTTCTGTTGTCCTCAGTAGACTTATTAGTTGCTTAGTAATAATTTGTCTTACTTGTTAGATATTCATCATACTTTAAAGAAAGACTGCCTGTGCTGAAAATAAACTCTTTTTGATGTAAAATTGTAAGGTTTATTTGAGGTGAAAGGCTAAGTCTATAACTGATCTATATTCAGGAATTTAAACAGCATGAAGACAAAAGACTTTTATCAAGTTTGTGGTAAAAAAGGCTATGGTCGGTGTTGAAAATCCTATGAAAAGTTGGATTCAAATTATGATCAGTATGAATTTCTCCCCTGTTTCAAGGGAATGAGACTCACTGGTTTAAACAATATAATCAAAAACTTATCTTCACAATTACACTGTGTATGAAGTTAAGATCTGTATTCTTATCAGATTGTGGTTTAAGGTGAACTCTTGTCAATTTGAAAATAGGTCATACACAAATGTTACATACATGCTGGCTATATTGTGTGGAGATTTTGGTGTAACAATGTTTGTGAATTCTATTTCATGGATGTATGAGATCAATGGATATTACTTCTGTTTTAGGTTCTGTAACTGTTTTACCATCTAATTCTCGGTTAACTATTCTTTATCTTGATATTACAGATGACAAAGAGGCCAGACGAGGCTAGATTATACACAGAATCATTACTACAGTCCCGGGTATGTATAATTTGTCAGATGGAACAATGATTAAGTTACTGACTGTGCTCTGACTGGATTGTAGTTTATTTATTACGAAAATGTCATGAGAATCAATAAGGTTAATCAGGAAACAAACATTGTGTGATGTAAAAGACATCAATTGTTCCACCCTTGGCCATGTTAACACCTTCCTTACAAAATAAACTGTATGAGTTATCCCCTCTAGATTATGTGAACACCTTCCTTACAAAACAGGCTGTATGAGTTATCCCCCCTTGATTATGTGAACACCTTCCTTACAAAACAGGCTGTATGAGTTATCCCCCCTTGATTATGTGAACACCTTCCTTACAAAACAGGCTGTATGAGTTATCCCCCCTTGATTATGTGAACACCTTCCTTACAAAACAGGCTGTATGAGTTACCCTGTGTTGACAGGGTTAATTATGAGTTATTCCCCCTTGATCAGGTTAACACCTTTCTGTGTTGACAGAGTTAATTATGAGTTATTCCCCCTTGATCAGGTTAACACCTTTCTGTGTTGACAGGGTTAATTATGAGTTATTCCCCCTTGATCAGGTTAACACCTTTCTGTGTTGACAGGGTTAATTATGAGTTATTCCCCCTTGATCAGGTTAACACCTTTCTGTGTTGACAGGGTTAATTATGAGTTATTTCCCCTTGATCAGGTTAACACCTTTCTGTGTTGACAGGGTTAATTATGAGTTATTTCCCCTTGATCAGGTTAACACCTTTCTGTGTTGACAGGGTTAATTATGAGTTATTTCCCCTTGATCAGGTTAACACCTTTCTGTGTTGACAGGGTTAATTATGAGTTATTCCCCCTTGATCAGGTTAACACCTTTCTGTGTTGACAGGGTTAATTATGTTATTCTCCCTTGACGATGTTAACACATTTTTGAATGGACAAGTTGAGTTATGGGGGTTTTGCCTTTGATCATGTCCTTTTATTTCTCCAACTATTTGATTTGCAGGTTAACACCTTTCTGTGTTGACAGAAATAGGTTAATTACAGTCAGTTTACAATTTTGCTTTGATATTACAGGAAAAATAACACCTTTCTGTGTTGACAGGGTTGATTATGTTATTCTCCCTTGACGATGTTAACAGATTTTTGAATGGACAAGTTGAGTTATGGGGGTTTTGCCTTTGATCATGTCAATTCTTTTATTTCTCCAACTATTTGATTTGCAGGGCACTTTTGATGAAGACACATCCTACACACAGGAAACTTCTATAGCAGAGCTGAAACAAGAAATAGGCCAATTACAGTCAGCCAACAAAAACCTTTACAATTTTGCTTTGGAAGAAATATTACAAGAGAAAAATAAACCATTCTGATATAAATATACTGATGTTACTCTTTTAGTCCATCATCATCAAAATTTGAACCATTTAAATCGTCCTTCATCAGTGGTCTGCCATTTGTCTATCCATCCGTTGTTTGTCTGTAAACAATTTTTGTTATTACTATTTCTTGAGAAGTACTGGATGAATCTTTCTCAAATTTCATATAATTAAAATAAAAACAGAGGAGAAGAAATGAAGGGAAAAGATCCAATTTAAAAACAAAACTATCCAAAGACCAAACAATGGTGGTTGCAACAGATCTTTCCTAGAAGTGTGTGTATGTTGCATGATATTGTGGCTTAAAATGCTTTCTGACAAAACATGGTACATTGTTTAGAATAGAATCGTGAGATAATATCCATGTGTACTATGTATTGTAGTACAAAAACTTCATATAAATAAGCAAGTCTACATTGATGGATGGGATTTGTGTAAAATATCAAAAGAAACGGGACTGGTACGGAGAAATATATACATATTTATTAATCAGATTGTTTGTTTTTGTTTAAAACCAAAAATTTAACAGATATTGTGACATGTAACTTTTACCGAAACTTGTGAACTTTATAATCAATTCCCAAGAAACTGAAAGAAATATTAACAAATCTTTTTGGGTGTACATCACAATAATGACTTAAGATACAGATACTGCTCCCTCTGTGGTGCTCACGGACTCCTTCATAACAACCTTATATTGTAAAGTTGTTTGCTGCCTCTGTGGTGTTCACGGACTCCTTCATAACAACCTTATATTGTAAAGTTGTTTGCTGCCTCTGTGGTGCTCACGGACTCTACCATAACAACCTTATATTGTAAAGTTGTTTGCTGCCTCTGTGGTGCTCATGAACTCTCCTTCAGTGATCCTCCTAAATATCCAAGGTATTGCGTTCTTCTGTGGTGGAACTACCCACATAGTCTATATATCGTGATGAACCAGTATTGAGATAGTGTATTAACCTGTTTATAATTTGTCAGCATGTGACTGGGTGCCTAGAAATATACCTCATTCTGACAGGACTGTAGTCACACCAGTTAGTTCTTCAGTGTCACAAGGTGTGTCACAGCCCACCACTATAATACATGCACTAAATACATGCCCTCATCTCACATATATCAATAATATAGCTGTCGGAAGGACATTAAACTATGAAAATAAACTAAATTGATACAATTGTTTCTTGTAGCTTTGCAATGTGAAGTAACTTTTTAAATTTTAAACCATATTTTATACAAGTATAACATGTATTTGGAATAAAAATTGAATAATAGGGTTATCGGGTGGCACAGTGGTAACGCACTCGCCTTTCACCTAGCCGTCCGGGATTCGATTCCCGGAATGGATGTGAAAAGGTATGGGGTCAACTGCCCGACAACGTGGGTTTTCCCTGGGTACTCCGGTTTCCTCCCGCATTAGGACCCCTCGCGCACTTCCATCCGAGCCAACAAAAATGATTTATATAAGTAGGAAAAACCTGCTTCGCAATTGTTATAAAATAAATAAAGTTTATCATTATATTGAATATCAACTAAGAAATACAAACCCATTGAACATCTTATTTCGCTTTCACAAGTTAATGAATACTACCATATCTGGTGCCATCAGTTTTGCTTACAAAAAGATCTCAGCCATGTTATGGAACACTTCTTGGTTTGGTAAAAGCTTGTAATCTACGTATGATAACATGATAAAGAAATTTCGGGAGAGTCTGTCTGTGCCATCTTGTTCTGAATGGATACTTCTCAAATTTTATCCTTCAATTTCGCTTGGTCCCTAGTTTTGCCCTATTAGATTTGGGACTGAATAGAAAAACAAAATGGCTGACATGCGGCCATTTTGGATTTTGACAATGAAAGTTTGTTATTATTATATCTTTTAGAGGTACTGGATTTCCATTTAGCAGTTTTTCCCGTCCTTTCAGTGGCCGAGTGATGGGATAATCTTTCTCAACTTTCATATGAATTAAGTTCCCCTTAGTCTCTAAGTTTGCTATGTTAATATTACGTTTATAAGAAAGACAAAATGTCAGAGAGGCACCATCTGTGATTTTGACAGTTTCAGATCAATCAGCTTTTGTAGACCCAAGAGCAAAAGATAGACAAAAGGAGAGATAAGAACTGATAAAGATTAAACAGTGGTGGGTAGAAAGATTCCTCAGGGATCTCTTGTTTACTTTACAACAATCGTAATCGCTATGGTTGGTCTGGACGTAAATACTCGAGGGTATTGCCATGTGTGGTAATCAGAGAACACTTGGAAAAATCCATGGGGTCGCATAGGTAACCATTACCCTGTCTCGTTTCTCGTCCGATCGCGGAATCGAACCTCGATCATCGATGTGAAATGCGTTAGAAAGTATGCAATTTGAACACCGTCTGATATTCTAAATATATCCATGTACCTATAGGTTTAACAGATCGTATCTGTTTGTGTTAGAAAAAATAATAACAAGACGAGAAAATGGGAGAAAACAGTTGTCATACAGGATGCATAATATTCCAATATATTACAGTTTGGTAATTTTTTTATCTTTACAAAGTTGGTAAGTTACGGTGAGTAACATAATGGATGATTCGGAATCAAGTTTCGTTTGCAGACAGATATGAAAGAGTTACACACTTCACAAATATTATACTTCAGATTAATAGAACTGATTGAATCACATTCTTTCGTGAAATGGTTTGCTAAAGAAATTTTCTCAATATTGTGTATAAAAGTTATCAATTGCCCAAAGCAATTTAATCCTATGATACATGCACGACCCCGGTTTTTATCAAAGTTAAGTGTTTTCTTTTCTGTTGAACAGATTTAATCAAATCCAACAAACAGTGGCAGTATAATCTAAATATTGACAGAGTGGTTTACCTCGTGGTCTGTCCTTAAAGTGTCTACAGAACCTCGATACTCGATCACCCAGAAACACCTTATAGGAGTATATGTATAGGCTAGACACGGGTATGTAGCGTCTGTATAAACGTTGGATAGCGACACCGCTGGAATTAGGTCAAGATATGTTTTGCTAAGACAGTACGATTATGTCAACGATAAAAGCACACTTTTAATCCCTCGCACGCCTCTACGCACGCCACATCCCCATCCGTCATTCTCGTCAAGCCTCAATACACATCACAACTTTCCCTATCCCTCATAAACGTCACGCCTCAATACACGTCACAACTTTCCCCATCCCTCATCCACGTCACGCCTCAATACACGTCACAACTTTCCCCATCCCTCATCCACGTCACGCCTCAATACACGTCACAACTTTCCCTATCCCTCACCCACGTCATGCCTCAATACATTTCTTAACTCTCCCCTTCCCCTCGTTCACATCACGCCTCAACACATTTCAACAACCCTACACCATCCCATACCACGTCTGAACCCTTCCCATCCTTCATCAACGTAATCGTCAATATGTGATGGAGTAGGTAAAATGAAAGTAGATCGCGGCAACATCAACGGTAACCTTGACAACAACTCTTACCATGGTCGTAATGACAACTTTCCATGTCATGGAAAAGTATTAAAACGTCATAACAACATTCCAGGTCATTCCGACGTCTAAAGTACATGTAATATTAAATGACAACAGTTTATGTCATGCATTAACTAAAGTCATAGGTCATAATGACACCAGTCGAGGTCATTCCAACGTCTCTAAGGTCATATTGACAACAATTAAGGTCATGCCAATATATATGCACTTTTCTAACATTTACAGAGTGAAATGCAAATAATTTCATTTTACCGAGAGAAGATGTGATTGCCTATCTGTACGGGTCACACGACAAAAGCTGAGCCACGGTCGATGGGAAGATTGAAATAATAAGTTCCAACACTTAAACACTTAAACACTTAAACACTGTAATATATATCTATGTCTATTTTTAGTAAAACGTGGTTTGTTTGGATGATACTAATTGTGAGAATGGGTTATCTAAAATAAATACACGCGGAAAAGACCTGGTACGGAAGATACGATGTGGTACCAGATGACAGCTAGTTACCACTGTCATTTGCTATTATTTCAAAATGTTGATGATTGCAGTTAATTTTTAAAAAATTGAATATATTTGTGCTCTGTACCTAACCGTGAGACGACTCCTACTCACGTACTATTTACCAGCTTCTATCGCCGTTATCGGTTGACGGTGGAACACTCAAGTGGACTTCAATGACTACAAAAATAACTCTTAAATCAAGTTCAAATATATTTTGATCATCCAAGGTTGAATACATGAATTTTAAAACAACTTGTTTCGAAATTTTTATTTGCAGTCATGTGTGTTTCTATCCATTGTGTTAATGGTTCGATTCAGAGTCGAGAGCGGTTACCTTACCACGGTACTATCACCACGTTACATATGATAAAGTGAAAATTTTGAAATATTATTTCTTCCCTTCAAATATAGTACACATTCTTGTTTTTGTATCTATGTACATCGGAAAAATCTAGTATTTCAATATCATAAAACCTTATTAGGGAAACGGAAGATGTGTTCTTTCTGTTTTTTTTAAGATAACCCTGTATTACAGTATAAAATGACGATTTCAGTATGTGTTTACATTTTACATAAATTATGTATAATGTTTACAAAAGCTTACCCTGGGTCTAATTATGGCTAGTCAAAGACTGTTGAATGAAGTATAAAGTTCATTTTATCATTTTACTGAGTTTAAATAATAATAAAACGGTTAAATGAAATGAAAAGTTAATAAGTATATCTACCATTCTTTATGTTCCAATCGCTGGCGAATTAAAAACTAACGTTTCTAGTCCTGGTCAATTACTTTTTCATAATACATAATTTCTGATCAAGCGTAGACCAGAAACATTGGGTAAAATCCAATTTGCATATTCAAATAACTCATTTAAATATGTTGTCAAATTTGGACATAGTGATGTTTAGGATTGTCCTTTGCAGACAAAGACACGCCCAACATCCTCTCTTTGGTGTATTTCTCATATTGGCTTCCTGAAATCGTATATGTGGG